TTTTTCCAATCGGTCCGGACCGATTTGATCCTAAGTATTTCAGTCCGGTCCGGTCCAACCCCGAATAGATTCAGGTCCGGTCTTTGGTCCGTGATTTCAATCAATTCGGTCTTCGAGACGGTCCAGGGTGGTCCGGTTTGATCCGGTCTTGGACCGATGAACACCCCTATGTGAAAGTATTAGTTCTAAAGAAAAAATTATTCAAGAATAAGAAATCTATCAAAATAAGACTTTCTATCTTTAAATTATTTCCTTAATTAGAGTTTTGACACTTTGAAATGCTATTTTGGTATTGTGTGTTTCATTTAAGAGTATGCTTTGACATTATATTTGATGAAAGTACTAAATAAGAATAAAACATAGAAAAAGAATCAAAATAGGTCTGGATATTCGTGTTTTATTTTCAAAATAAAATTAATAATAATGCTAATATAATACCAAAAAATACTTTAAAATATCAATATGAAGAGATACATTGTTAATGTAATGTTTCTAATTTGGGTTTAAAAATATACTACTCTTATTTTTAGGATAAATATTATGTTTTGCTCAAATTTTGGTGATGTTTTTATATTATTTGGGATTATAAGTCTTATTTGTACATAAAAATGATCCCATTTCGATGATTGTTAGTATTTTGAATAAAATTATAATACTCCCTCCGTCCCATGAAACATGAGACTTTTGCTTTTTATGAAGGATTTAAGGGAAGTATATTTTGGTATTGAATTTCCAAAAATGTCTTTTGATGTGATGGGTAAAAGTATGATTTGATGGATAGATTATTAGTAAAAAGGTATGATGTGATAGTTAGGGTATGAAAAAGTAAGGGGTAAAAGTGACTTTTTAATAGAAATGAGAAGTGTTTTGTGGGACGGATAAAAAAAAGGAGAAAGGTTTCATGGGACGGAGGGAGTAGTATATACCAACAATATTGTTTTGAATGAAATTATAATAGTATACACTAACAATATTTTCAATCGTTGTTAGTATTCTACTCCCTCCGTCCCTCAGACTCTTACTCCTTCTCCTTTCTTTTTTTCTTGTCCCACAAATTCTTTCTCTAGTCTATTAAAAAACTACTTTACCCTTACTAATTCTTACCTTACCTATCACATCATACATTTTTACTAATAATTTATTCATCACATCCTACTTTTACCTATCACATCAAAGTCATTTTTGGAAAGTCAACACAAAAATATCATTTTCTTAATTTCCAATAAAGTCAATAAGGGAAACTCTTTCAGGGACGGAGGGAGTATTACTCATAGCTTTTCCAAAACACTAAAAAAAATACTTTAACACTCTTGCCAAACCAGGCTTAAGCACTTCTCTTAAAAAAAACACTTCCTCCGTTTTCTAAAACAGATCCTGTTTTGATTTGGATGAGATTTAATTTCATAGTTTGACTTTCAAATTATACTCTTATTATCGAAGAAAAAAGAAAGACAAATTATTTAAATAACTTATTAAATCAATGCAAATTGAATATTGATGGAGTGTATTGCAACAACTTAATTTAGATATACTAGACATTTTTTAACAAAAATGGAAGTGTTTAATCAAACTGTGTGGCACCCTTTGACTGCGAATTATGGAAAAAGTATATTTAATTATAATGTAAATTAATTCAAATAAATTATATTTAATTCGTGACAAAATAGTATCACGGTTTGATCAAAAAAGTTATCCTGTTACGATCTTTGAGGGACGAGCCACGGAGGGAGTAAGTCATAGAAGTGTTTTTTTATTGTGCAGTCATGCGACGAACCAAAGAACGAGACGTATTTCAGCCATATCTTTGGAAAGGGCTCTGCTTTTTGGATGAAGAGCTTCCATTTCTAGTTAAAGTAGACACTACTTCTTGACCCAATCTCACTTTCTAGCTACTACGTACCTCCTCCCAAGATAAAAGAGCTGGTTTTGGTTTATGACGGTTCACCAAATTTATTTTCAATTAAATACAGAGTCTATTTTAATATTAGTATGAAAAATAAATACTTCTTCTGTTCCACAAAACCCTTCCGGTTTTGACTTTGGGAAAAAATAAGGAAAGTGTAATTTTGGTTGACTTTCCAATTTTGCCCCTGATGTGATGGAAAAAAGTAAGATGTGATAGTTTGGTTATTAGTGAAAAAGTATGATGTGATAGATAGGGTATGAAAACGTAGGGGTAAAAGTAGTTTTTTAATAGAAAGTGAAAGTGTTTTGTGGAAAACAAAAAAAACGAAAAAGGAAGAATTTTGTGAAACGGAGGAAGTAATAAATACTTAAAAATGACATAAAAAATTGTCCAAAATAAATAATGAAATGAGTATATATTACTTGGTTAAATTATCGATAAAAATATAGGGAGTAAAAACAAATAAGATATAGTTTGATATTGCACAGCGACAGACCAATGGATACTAAGAGAAAATACGATGCAGCGGGCATTATTAGAGTTGACGGAAGGCATTGAAATCGCAATAACATTGAAACTCTGATGGATGATATTGAAGGAGCGGGGTTATTATTTGGGTGGTTAAGAGTGAATCTAAAATTATCAAAAGAACATTATCATACATTCATATTAATAATAATAATAATAATAATAATAATTGTGTTAGTGTAATGCTAGTTTTTGTTAACGCACCAACACTTTGTGTCAGTGCAAATTTTTGTTAACGCACCAACACTTTGTGTTAGTGTGAACCATCAAAATATTGGTGCATACCTTTGGTGTATAAATGGGTTACATGTAGCATGCTCCTTCGTATATCTAAAACTTACCAAAGAGACTGTTAGTGTAGTAATGAAAGACACAGATTAAAATATACTCCCTTCGTCCCGGAGTATTCGTCCAGTTTTGACTTTTGAAACTGTTCATCTAAGCACTTTGACCCATCAAATTCTCTCAATGTGTAAGCCTAAATATAGTCATGTGTGATTTTGTTTGATTTGTCTTAACATATAGATTATTAATATATAATTTCTATAATTTTTTAATATACAAATTACAAGATAAAATGGATTAAAGAAGTGTATTGGATGGTGTGTAAAAATAAAAGTAGACAAATACTCTGGATGAGAGGTAGTAATTAAAAATGGGAAAAGAATTAAAATATAATTGTCATATTTTTATTTTCAAATTGAATAGAGCTTATGATATAATGTCAATAGTGCTAAAAAATACTACGTACTAAAAAAATATTATGAAATGTCAATACACAGTGTCACATTGTCATAGTGATAGTCTTAGTTAGAGAATAAAAATATATTATTCATTTTTTTAGATAAACAATATGTTTTGCTTTTATTTAAGATAATTTTTTATAGTAATAATTGATTTGAATCAAATAATAAAAAAAATAAACGAATTTTAGTATGAAGGGTTACCTTCGCCGGTTAGGAAGCAAAGCATGTAGTGAGCTATCATATCCCTTGTTTTCCTCCTATGAATTCGCGTGTCATTAACTTACCAAAACTCTTCCTATGATTTATTATGATTATTCATTACTGCATTATTATTTTAAGAGAAATTTACCTAAATAGGACTAAAACATAATGATTTTTCCAATATAGGACCATATGTTTTTATTTCTCAATGTAGGACTTTTGGTCATTATGAAGTAGTCATTATTCAAGTAAATGTCCATCATTACTGGACATTATTTCTCTCACTAGGTCATTATTAAGTCCTATTTAGGGAATAAAAAAGTAAGTCCTACATTAGGAAAGTCATTATGTTTTAGTCCTATTTAATGCAAATTTCACTTATTTTAAATACTCCATAGTAATTACAATAATTATAAATTTTAATCACTTTCATTATTTAATTTTTTATACTCATTTCATAAAATAATATACTAATGTCACATCTTATTTTATAGAATTTTAGATGTAGTTTTTAAATATATATCTTTTGTTTTTAATTTCACAATTTTTAGATAAAATAAATTAAAAATAATTTCAGTAAGACATTGTAAATCGAGACAGTCAATGTAAATCTAGCTCCACGCCTACTCTTAAGAGGTTGAAATTGGTTTTTACCGATACTACACTTATGAGTATGGAAGCCACTAAAAAAAATATTAATATTAGTAGTAATTAACAATAATAATAATAATAGTCATACGTCTTTCGCCCTAAATCCAATTTAATTTTTTGTTGGATTTTTTTGAGTCGGAATGATCTTTGACTATTATTTGTACTCCTCCCGTGCCATTTGATTCTTGATAGAATGTGTTAAGTTATTTGAAAAATGTTATTTTAATAATTTTATTTAAATATTGGTTTAAAGTGAAAAAAATAAAATTTATATATCTGAAAAATATATAAAAAGATCTCCAAAATGTAAAGTTAAATGATTATATTAGCTAATCAAATGATATCTAAATGTGTAAATAATAGTTCGACCGTGGAATTCATTTATTTTTATGGACTTTTTTCTACTTTTGAAAAAGTTTTTGGAGCTCAAACTACATGTTTTTTTCTCTTTTTTGCATCACGTTCAATCACATAATTTTATTTTCTTTTGAGCTCTTTGTAGAACCTAATGTGGACTATTGAATTGAGACAAAAAAAAGTATTTTCTCTCTTTTTTGTAGTACTTTCAATAACCCAATCTTAGTTTTTTGATTCCCGTGTAAAATCAAACATAAAATCATTTTACAAAACTAGTGACATAAATTCTGATATTTTGAAGCACGGAGTACCCGGTATTAAAATAAGAGAAATTTACCTAAATAGGACTAAAACATAATGATTTTTCTAATATAGGACTATATGTTTTTATTTCCTAATGTAAGACATTTAGTCATTATCAATTAGTCATTATTCAAGTAAATGACCATCATTACTGGACATTATTCTTTCCACAAGACATTATTTAGTCCTATTTAAGGAATAAAAAATTTTAAATCCTATATTAAAAGATGACTTATGTTTTAATCTTATTTAATACAAATTTCACTTAAAACAATCTTATTGGATTAGTTTGGCATAAAATGAGAAACGTGAAAAGTTCTTCCAATTGGGTGAAGTCAGAAAAAGGTAAGAGTAAAAGGGAGTATTTGCTGGCAGGCCCTTCAGTGATTTACTCTTTTCAGTCCTCGTCCCCAATTCAATCCTACTCAACTCTACTCTGACTCTAGGGGCCTAGGGTTTGTTTATAATAATTAAAAAAAATAAAGAGAATAGTGATCTCATAACCGCCTTTTCGCCTTTCTTTCTTCTCTTAGCTCCGTTTTCTCAATCCTTGATTTCTGGCGGCCGTATGGAAGGAGAGATCCCGGAGAAGACGGATCGTCGCCGTCAAGACGGAGACGGGGAGAACAATTACGGAAAGCTGAGGATCGGCGGTCAGAGGCCGTCAACGCCGCCGTCCGCGGCGGCGGAGAAGAAGGAGCACGTGTGCGCGGACTGCGGCAAGGTGTTCAGCTCCGGGAAGGCGCTCGGAGGTCACATGAGCAGCGCGCACGTCCAGGCGGGCCGGGACTACTCGTACAAGAAGAAGAAGAAGACGCCGCTCCGCCGCGGCGGCGGAGGCGGCAGCGCGGCGGCGTTTTCCGACGAAGACGAGGAGGCGGCCGAGGATGAGGAGGACTTAGCTCTCCGCGAGTACTACCGCGGAATAGACGGGAAAATCCGTTGCAATCTTTGCGGAAAGCGATTCCCTTCGAGGAAGTCCTTGTTCGGCCACATGAGATGCCATCCGGAGAGGGGGTACAGGGGTATGGAACCGCCAATCGACGAAGCCGAAGACAGCGGCGAAGAAGACCGCCGCCGCCGCCATCTGCCCCACCAACCTGGCGGCGGCGCGGGGGTCGAACTGGAGAGGCTGCTGTGGGGCTGGTCGGTGAAGGGGACGAGAGGGCGGCCGCCGATTCAGACGGCCTTCTCCTCATCCTCTTCCTTTTCCCGAGACGAAGTCAAACTCCACCGGGCGGTCAACAACCTGGTAAGTCTTGTCAAGGCCGATTCTCCATCTCCCAGAAACCCTAATAAGCTCCAATTTGTGGATGAGAAAAGAAATTGTCTTGCTCTTGATGCTGGTAATTTCAATAATGGTTCTGCAAACAAGGGGAAGGGGAAGGTGGTCTGGGAACCCAGGTATAGATCCGGGGAGAAATCGAGCTCCGAAGAGGACGATGACGTGGCAGGTTCGATGAGCTCGGAAGACGAAGACGACGACGAAGAAGAATTGGGGATGGCATTGGTCAATTTGAAGAATGGGTCTTCCTTGGGGTCTAACAACAACAGCATTAACAACAAGAGGAAGAGAACAAGTGAGGATTTTGGAGGCATTGGTTGGAAGTATAATAGCAGCAGTAATAATTGTGGAGGGGAAGAAGAGAATAACAATAACAACAAGTTCAAATGCAGCACTTGTAGCAAGTGCTTCACCAGCCACCAGGCCTTGGGAGGCCACAGGTCAAGCCACAACAAGTTCAAAGTCATCATCCAAAACGCCATTGATGTCGTTGCGGAGGAGGAAGAAGACAATAATGGCGAAGAAGAAGAAGACTGCGCGATTGGCTACCAATGCGGGGTTTGCAACAAGACGTTCGCGACGCAGAGGGCATTGGGCGGTCACAGGAAATGCCATTCCACCCCCGCCTCTAGCCTGCAACAACAACACCACCATCCGCAGCAGCAGCTCATCATGGCCTCAGCTGCTGTTGCCGTTGTTGGTGCTGTTGCTGCTACTACTACTACCACCACCTCTTCATCTTCCCCTCCTCGGCTTGTCGAAAATCGCAAGATTATTCTCGATTTCGATCTCAACGAGATTCCAGATGACGACATGGACGACGCTCAAATCGAGTGATGATGATGATTGAATCCATCCATTTCTTCTTCTTCTTCTGATACATCTTCATCATGCAGCAGCAGCCAGCAGGAGGAGGAGGAGGTAATTGAGCAATAATACTGTATTCTTCTTCTTCTTCTTCTTGCAGCTGAATTAGCTTAGCTTAGCTTCCTCATCAGCTTAATTACCTATAGCTAGCTCCCAAGTCCCCAGGCCATTATTATTAGTCAAGCAAGCTTCTTGTGTGAGTGTGAGTGTGTGTGTATATTCACACAGCTACACACACACACACACACAAATTCTTCACTTAAAAACATTTATTATATGCACTGATTCCGAAGTTCTCTAATGGGACTTCTCCTTTTTCTAGTTCAGAATCAGATTGGGGATATGTGGCACATATATATACATACATGATGATGAAGCTTTATCAACAGGCCTTTTTCATTGTCTCTCTTTTATTCACACAATGTTAATTACTTTGGAGGCTTATTGAAAAGAGAACATAAAATCAAGAACATGGAAGATTAAGATTACTCAAGGAAGACAAACACTCGCTTTCTTTTTAATTCGATCCAAGAACGATTCCACAATTTCGTAAATTTAGATTGTAGTTTCTTTGTAAAAAAAAAAATTAAAACAAAAGACCAACATACCAATGCTGGTGTGATATTTGGAATTGTCTTGTTTTTTTTCTTCAAATTATATATTTCTGTAGAAAATTATTTCTGACTCCGAACTCTCGGAATATAGTATAATGTGTGGCTTGCTGCTATACATATGATAATGCAATCTTAGTAGCATATGCTATACATATGATAATGTCATAATCTTAGCTGCATTTGCCATACATATGATAATCTATAATTAATCTTTGCAGCATTTGCTAGCTATGTGCATATGACAATATAATCCACAAGTAGCATTTGCTTATGTGTACATGATAAAGATATGTAATCCTAGTAGAAATCTGAAGTGTAAACCAACTTTATATTTCTGAAATCCACATACCAGGTATGTTTATGAAGTTATAATATTGGGATTAATGCCAAACATGCCTCAATAAAAATGCGTTCTTCACTCATTTTGTTCCTGCATTTGTCTTCAAATGTTTATACTCTCATTTTCTTTTTTTCAAAAATATTACTCCGGTATGTATTTTTTTAATTGTTTCATTTTTCTCTATATTTTAATGCTTCTCATGTCTGTAAATTTTTTTTTTTATTTCTTTATTCATTCAAAAAAATCACTTCCCTTTTAAAGAAATGAGCGGTTCATGACTTTTTTTCTCTATAAAAAAAAATTAACATTAATTTTTTACTTTTCCACACTCTTCTTGAATTTCTTGATAGTTAAACAAGTATCGTTAGGGGATGGATGAAGTAAATTCCTAGTGCAAAGTGGTTCTACATTATTTTCATGCTTAATCACAGAGAGCTTTATTTTAATTTAGGGACAGAAAAATATTACGAGTATTTTTTTGACCTAGAAAATGTGGGTGGGGGAATCATTTCAGGCTTTGAGAAGAATTTTAGAGCATCTGCGTTACCCTATCGGCCAATTGTTTTTGTGTCCGTTTGGTAATATATAGTTCTACCGCTATCTTTAGCTTTTTGAAAAAAATATTAATAATAGTGTTTAGTTTTATCTCAACTAATTAAAAGTGCCAATTAGGTTTAGGTAGAAAGATTAAAGTAGAACTAAAACATTAAAAATATACCAAAATAGGACTTCCATATTTTTGTTCGCAAAGTAGGACTTAATATGCACATACATTACCAAATATGGTCATGTACATCACCAAAAAGTATACTAATATGCACATCTACAGTGCCACATTACAATCATATTATCACAGTGTGAAGTCCTATTTCAGAAAAAAACATAAAAGTTCTAATTTGGTATTTTTCTCTATGTTTTAATCCTATTTAGGATAATTTCTACTCCCTCCGTTCCACAAAACTCTTCCGGTTTTGACTTTGGGGAAAAATAAGGAAAGTGTAATTTTGGTTGACTTTCCAATTTTGCCCCTGATGTGATGGGAAAAAGTAAGATGTGATAGTTTGGTTATTAGTGATAAAGTATGATGTGATAGGTAGGGTATGAAAAAGTAGGGGTAAAAGTGGTTTTTTAATAGAAAGTGGAAGTGTTTTGTGGAAAGCAAAAAAAACGAAAGAGGAAGGGTTTAGTGGAACGGAAGGAGTATTAGGTTTACTGATTGTTTTTAAAATAAAAAACTTTGTAAGAATGACCTAAACAAAAAAAAGAAACTATAAACATATTTACCCTTCAAAGTTTCATATTTGAAAATTGAAATCCAGAAATGGAGATGAAATCTAAATTTCCAAACCCTACCTTCATGTTTGCAACAGATTTTGGTATAAAATTACCATAAAGGTAGTGAAAATATGCCAAAATGATTTGGGCACACATATAGGGAGTATAATATTATTCCTTTTTGACTCACACTTTAGGAAACTTGATCATTATTTAAATAAATAAAGAGAATCAAATAAGATTTTTCCAAAAAAATTAGTAAGCAGTAACTATAATAAAATTATTTATTTCCTATTTTATATGGAGTGCTTATATACGTTTCAAATTAAACTTGCGAGAATCTGTTAAGGCATGCATACTGGGATAGGATGTATATTCAAAGGAAATATATACATACGGAGTAAAAAAGGCACG